GCTACACGTGGGTAAGATAAGAAAATAGCAGGATAAACAGAGAAGGCTTACCAATTCTTTTAAGTTTTAACTACTTGTATACCTTGATCTGAGTTTACATATGAAAATAATGTAATTAAAAGGGATGTGATGAAGTAAATGGATATATACATATGTGATGCGATTATTATGACATGCGTTGTTATTAATGTTGTTTTTCTTTCGTTGATAAAAAGAGCTGATTGAAAAGTGAAATAATTAAATCACTTTGTCAATTTCATTCCAAATGCAGTTTGCTGAAAACAAATATGATATTCCTTTCATTTTATTTTTGGATATTATTTTTTAAACTAAAAATTGTATTCATCCAATTGAATCTAATAGAGCTTGGGTTGACAAAAAAAATTATACGTAAAGCCTTGTTCAAAATTATTATGGCACATTTCCCGACATTAGGGTGAGATATAAAGGCATAAGCATAATTATATTTTAGAATGTCGAGAAAATATCCCAGAAGGATCGATTGATATTAAAAGAGAAACGTGTAAAATATGATAAATAAACTGCTAAAGTGACTGAAAGAGATGATTATAAAGATTGAGCTCAACCAATGCATGAAGCATGGTTAGACGGTCATTACGTGTATACAAATAAAATTGGTTTTATTTTAGGAAGTCACTTATGCCTCTACAAGAGGATGATATAAGTTTAATGCTGCAGCTGATAAGTTATAGAAACTTTATGATACAAAACATGAGTTCCTCTTTTATGACTCATATAGAGGACTTTTGATGAAACAGGAATGATATTGATTAGATTGACGTCAATGATTTATTTTCCCATAACTATCGACTCCTAATCCATAATAATAAAGTCTGGCCAGACGAAATATGATGGACTTGTAGTCCTAAAATTTTGTGAATTATGATCGAAGTTTATGGATGAGAAAATATTTTATATTGGGCCTGAATTCCCATAAATCAAGATATTGTGTACGTGGGGTGACAATACTTGAGATTGAATGATTTTGAGACTGCACTCCTGTTATGGTTTAAAGTTCTGTAAATGTGGCAGTTGATGCGAAAATTGGATGTCATTGTTATAATATCAATTGTGTGTCCCTGAAGGACAATGGTGAAAACAAAAATATGTGCACACAACATGCAACATGAATATGAATTCTTTTATGTCTAGATAAGGACATTATGTGTTAAATTATAGTAATTATATTTGGAATTATTCTTGAAAAAGAATTTGAATTTCATTGAATAACTGCAACGATAAATAATGCAGTAAATACTAAGCATAGCTGAAAAACATATAAAATGGACGCTTGTGCCTAACTAAAACCTGGGTGACTACAATAAGTCTTGATGAAATTATTTATTCTGTAGAAGAACTATGCTTGAATATCATGGTGCAAATTATATTATGTAATTGAACAAGGTTTTTGCATCATGTCAAAATATCACTTATAGTGAGTGCCTCCTGAAGAGGATCTAATGTGAACAATTTTCTTATGTGTTTTTACATGATATCATGACTAGAATTTAAACTAATTTAAAGTGAACTATATTCATACTACTTCTCAACCTTTCCTGGAGAAAGAGTTGAATGAGGAAATCATTATGCAATGAATTTGCAATTACTCATAAATCTTATATTTGTTTACCTGAAGTAAACATATATTATTCTATGAACCAAACTGTATAAATAAAGGTGTTGGATGCTTTTAAGCATCTAGACAAACCTAGAAACAACACATGAATTAAAATCTTTTGATTTGAATAGTGTTTGATTACATAAAAAATAAAATATCTAGTCATTATATTGTAAACACCTGAAGTGTTTGTATACTAATTTGAGATCCTGGGAAGATCAAAACATGTCACATTTAAGTTTTATGGACCAATATTTGAGAATACTCAATTATTGAATATTTGACATGCATAATAACAATAAACTTGATGGTCTTGAAATACACATTGCAGAATCATGAATTTAGACAATTGCTTCCGCTTATCGTATACTTTCACCTAAACATATTGAGTTGTTGTTGAAGTGGAACAATTAATTGGTCCAGAAGACCATGTGCTATTCTTTTTCCTTAGCCAAGTTTTTGTCCCAAAGGGTTTTTCTTGGTCAAAGGTTTTAAGATATTTTGTGATTTTTAAAGAATCAGAAAGATTCATAACATCCAGAAGACTATTACCCTCTAAAAGAGTGATTCTAATATTAGTTTGAAAGATAGTACCCTGAAGGTCTTAATTGATCCTTGTGAGATCGAACAATTTATTGGTTCGGAAGATCATTTGCAACTGTACTCTTTTTCCTTAACCAAGTTTTGTCCCATAGGGTTTTCTTGGTCAAAGGTTTTAACGAGGCAGTTTGCGACTTTGAAATAACATATTATGATACATAAAATTCGGAGTATTATTTTTCTTCTATAAGAGTAAATTCAAATGCAATCCAGAAGATTATGCCCCGAATGCCAGTGACTGTACTCTTTTCCTTTACTAAGTTTTTCCCACATGGTTTTCTTAGCTAAAGGTTTTTAATGAGGCAGTCAATCCAACACATCGGTTTAAATATATTATGTACTCTTATCCTTGATTGATTTTTTCCCAAAGGGTTTTTCCAACAAGGTTTTTAATGAGGCATACACATAGTTCAATTTTTGCTACAAGGAGTTGATCATCAGATTATATTGGATTCTACAAGAAGTTTTGAAGTGATGCAGTCAACAGGGGAGTATATACGCGGCTTACGCGCTGCACTCTTTTTCCCTTGACCAAGGTTTTGTCCCACTGGGTTTTCCTCGGCAAGGTTTTTAACGAGGCAGTATTACCATAGCGTATAGAGATAATAATGTAAATTTTTCTTGTAATGTATTTTATTTAGCAATGTACATCCAAGGGGGAGTGTTATGTAATATGTGGATGTCCATTAACCCCCAAACCCATATATTCTGGCCCATATCAAGTGTAACCCTAGCTCCCTTCTCCTTGTATATATAGATGGCTATATGTGAATGAATTATATGCTTTTGATCTTGTTTATTACAATTACAAAACATTATCCCTAATTTATCCGGCCACGCAACAAAGTTGATGAAAATACTTCTCTCCCTTCCCGCACCAGAGTATGGAAACAAAATAGTGCACAATTTGAAGAAAGGAAAAGTAATATTAATTAAAACAATTTGTGATTTCAAATTTGTAGTATCCGTTTTGATTTCAAATCATTTTGTTTTGCTTTTGTGATTTCTCACTCTATTTGCCCCCTAATGAGATTACATTTTTAGTTCTGTACTTCTGTGGCTAAATAACACAATTTAACAAAGTCTGAAGTTAAATAACGAAAATTCTCAAATGTAAAAAATCAGTTACATATTATATATGTTTAACTTAAATCCATGCCCATCCCTAATTGCATAACAATTTGAATTGTTGTTCAATTAGTGAAAGACATGGATTTAAGCTAAACCTATATACCATAACCAATAAAGTCAACAAGCCTACATATATTAAGAAGGGATGGTTGACACATTAGACAATATGTTTGTGAAGCAGATGTGTATATAACACATGTTGATATGCAAAAATACTGACGGTGTGGGAGATATTTGTATTCTCAACTTGTGGATGCCTTTTGCTTTTACTGCACTTTCATCATACTAATAAATTGTTTTTTTAAATGCGATTAAATCAACGTTCTTTTCAAAAAATTGACTACTTCTTCGAATGCATAAAAACATGAGTAATATTGTAATTTATTTGTACAAATATGACGTCTCTGTCATTGATCGGTGTAACCGTCACCACCACATATGTAACCGTCACCGTCACACATGCCACTGTCGTCAATGTAATCATATTTTTTTTGTCATTGTCAAATTTTTATATCACTTATCGATGTAATAGTCGCCACCACATATGTCACTGCCTTCATGAAACTTGCCACTGTGACTACTGGAAAAAATTCTCGCAGCTTTTTTCGATGAATTTTAAAAAATGAAAAAAATATCACAATTTTCCGACGACAGTTTCCGGTAGCAACTGAACATGTGTGGGCTGGGACAGAGATTGGATGTAAACTACAAATAAGAAAAAATTGAATTAATTGAACAAAAAAATTAGTCATATTTTCAAATAAAAAAAACTAGTCACTTTTTGTATTTTACAAAACTGGAGGTGACATTTGTGCCCTTTTCCCTTATGTTATTAGGTAGATTCTATGGTACCCATAAGGTACCATATCTTTGTCCACATGGACCAATGAAAGTGTTGCAGTTGAATGATTTAAGTCTAAATTAAAAATGATATACATATTTGGACCAATCAAATGAATGATACGTACGGTACCTCATTTTTTAAATGAGTACCGGAGTTGTCACCATGTTATTAATCTATTATAGCAACTTCAATGAGATAGAGTGCTTATTATCATTTAATATAGAGGAAGTTGTGTGAAGGGAAAAATAAAAAATACTACTTTCGTCCCGTTGGAAGATTCTCATAGCAAAATGACACGGTTATTAAATAAAGTACTTCGAGTATATTTTGAGAAATAATTTTAATAAGTATATATTATAATGTAGTTAGTATTGATAACTGTGATGTTATAAATGTGGTGGTGCTGGAAGGTGGCTGAGGTGGTGGTTGATGTATGTATATTTTTTATTTATTTTTACGGAGTTTTATTTTTTTTATTTTAATTTTTTATATTTTATAATGATTGTTTAAAAAATACTATTAGAAAGGAAAAGGAAATGGTAGAATAGGAAGAGTTAGTATTTTATATTCCTGCACAATTCTAAAGATTAGTATCTTAGAAGTTCCTTAAGGAGAAGAAACCTTCTCCAGTTCTACAGGCTTGAAGTCAATTGAAGTTACCACAAAGGAAAGCTAGAATGAAAAGAAAGGTATATCTCGATTATATTCCAAAAAAAAAACCATTGTTTTATTTTTTCTTTCTTTCTTCTCCGTATATATATAAACCCAACAGAGCTTGCGATATTTACCAGCCACACAAAGGAGCTTATTGCTAAATAAATTATTGAAAGCAATCGTATATTTAAAAAAAGATTATTTGATGGAAATGGGTTCAAGCATGAAATCTCCCCCAGCTGAAGTTGATTCGCGTTTTGAGCTAAAATATGCCCTTCGAATCGGATTAGGGGTAGATCCTGACGTTCTTGAGTTTCGTTTACCATTAGGTAATGTGTGTATATTTTGCAAATTAAAACCAGATTTCACTTCAATCACATTGCAATATTGCATCATATAGCTGCCCTTGAAATTTAGGACAAATGGTGTGAATAACCAAAAAGTACATAAAAATATTTAATAAACAACTAACAATAATGATGATTTGCCAAAAATGTTTTAAGGTTAGTCAATTTATTTATCAATATGCACATGGTAAAATTAAACATAATTAATCACTAGTTCCACAATTCACATGCCTGTCCTTTTTTGATAATACATAGCCCCAAGCTATATTAAGAGATCCTTTTTCCCCCATACTATCTCGAAATTTGTAAACATTAAATTCTACTATATGGTCTACTTAAATGACTGGTGTATGTGTATGTTACAACTATAAAAATCTTGTCTGATATGGCGTGTATAAGTCAGTTTGTTTAGTATGTTCTTATCTGGTTTGGTCTATTTGAGTCTGATCTGTTCTGTTCTGGTCGTTGTGAGACTGAAACCAATCCAATTAATAACAAGGAATCGTAACTTTTCAAATACAAATCGAATTGATTGCTAAGAAGAAAGATGTTCCATCTTTTTCCACATACTTCGTACTAGTATTAGTTAAATAATTTTGTCCTTGCAGGGTTGAAGAAGGAGCAAATAGAGCTTTCGTTGGTAAGAACCACAATAACCGATAAAAATAACAATAAAAGTGAGATTAGAAGCTTGAGGATGAAATTGTTGGGGCTGAGTCCAAGGCGTGATAATGAAGATGAGGAGGTAGAGAAGGAGTTCCGCATTCCAACTGGAGGACGGTACGACGAGCATGAAGAAATAGAAGCCAGATTTCAACGTCAATCCTCCATTCTCTGTGTCACTCTCCCAAAACGGACTACTTAATCATAGTAGCTAGCTCCATCCAATAATGACTTATAAAATGTATGGCTATGTTAAGATTCGGGTTTTCATCTTAAAAGATCAACTTGATGACATGAGAGGAATAACGCAGATCTTAATATAGTGTTTAATTTATTTGAGAGATATCCGATATGAGACTTTAACAGCTAGATAGTGTGTATATATGTTACATTGTACACAACAATATGAAACAACTTTCCATTCGAACGTTACACATTTCCATCAAATGTTTGTTCACATCAAATAATATCTATAGAGATGAATGCAAATTAATTAACATAATTAAATACATGCATGTAGCATTACATATTGATATTAAATAAATGGTGACAACTCCGGTACCTTTCTAAAAAATGGGGTACCGTACCTATAATTCATTTGATTGGACCACATCACTTTATCATTTTTAATTTAGATTTAATTAATTTAACTGCTACATTCTCATTGGTCCATGTGGACAAAGGTATGGTACCTTAGGTACCATAGAATCTACCTAAATACAAAGCTTCTCTTGTGGGATTCATTTCTTTTATGATAGCACGGTAGCTCCCATACATGTCATAAAAATGAGAAAATGAAAATTAATAATCGCACTAATTTTCTTTCGATTGTTCCTGACCAGTTGATAATTTGCTACAATTTTTTACAAATCATTAACCATAAATCCCACAGGTCCAACACGTAACCTGGGGGTTTCGAATGGGTAGAAGGCGAATGAACTTACTAAACAAACGGGGGTGGATTTAATGACTGTTTCCTTCACTATTATGATTACAAGCCGAAAGGCCGAACGTACTGGAAATATACTACGTGCTGCTGATGCTGTTACAATTCCAGAGTAATGAAATGCGAACCCTTTACAATAAAATAAATGCGACTATTTATAGTACCCCCTGATGGTTGGGGGGCTGACGTGGCCGGCTGTGGGCGACACGATTCCAACTACCAAATCTTCAGCATTAAATGCGCTTCCCGCCAAAATCTTCTCTTGCCTTCTCAGTGCTGATCAGCGAGTATTTCGGTCCCGGTGTTCATTTCTTTTCCAAGCTTCTAGCAAAGGTAATTCCCCGACTCCAATCTCCTCCTTTCTTCCCGTACATCTCCCTATGGCCTGCTCCATGGAGATTTCTTCCTCCTCGGAAACTAGCTCCGGTTCTTCTACTGGTTCTTCGGCCGGTTCGTCTTCGGCGTCAGAACTCAGATCCCGTTCTTCGACTGAAGCGAGTGGTTCGGGCCGTTCCAGCGCTTCTTCAATGGCAGTCCCTGATGTAGTAACTGATGTCGCCGTCCCGGTCGCAGGGGAATATGTTGACATGGCCGTTGATTCTTAAAACGCCGTTGTGATGGCGGTACAACCTGCCGCGGCGGCGGGGCATCCAGCCGACCATGACTCGGGCGAGGAGGCTGAAGAAGGGGATGACCTCCGAATCTACAAGTGTGGCATCTCTATGGACAATCACAGGCACATTGTGCTTATCCCGAACGTAGCTGTGATCGAGAAGGTTTTTTTCAAAAGGGCCTTGAGGGAATTGCAAATCATCCTTCCCCCACCTGCCTATTATAGCCTCCGGGGCGCAGATAATCTCTTTATGAGACGACCGGGGATGGTGATGGTGCATATGGACTCTCTAAAGGACAGATTGCGGTTCCCGTTACATCCGTTTTACCTGGATTTCTTCGAATTCTACCGTGTGGTCCCGGCTCAATTCATGTCGAACTCCTACCGCCTGATCTCTGCGTTTCTTGTCCTCTACAAATCGTTGGGGCTCGCCTTCTCACTGGAGCTGTTCCATTATTTTTTCCAAGTTACCCCCCAGAACGCTGATGGGTTCCTGAGCGTAGCCGCCCGTCCCAAGAGAAAGCTGTTCGAGGGGGCTCCCTCCTCTATCCATGACTGGAAGAACCGCTACTTCTTTATTCGTTACGCGGACGATCGGCTTCCTGTAAGGTGGAATGGGTACCCCTCGAAGGTTCAGACACCGGAGCTAACCCCAGTGTTGCGGGAAGCCGTGGACAAGCTGAGGTTGGGCGGCGTTAGGAAATTAAAAAGCCTTCTGACCATTGAGGCACTCTCCAACGCCGGGATAGGTACCGCCCGTGATCCCTGGACTGGCCTTCTCTAGTGTTCATCTTGTGGGCCCGGGCGGTCTGTTCCCTGAGGAGAGTGCCTTTGTGATTCGCACCGCCCGGTACTAATGTTATTTTTCCGTTTTCCCAGGTCCTCCCCCTACTCAGGAGCAAATGGACAGCGCGGCTATGGCGGCTCGTCGTGAGGCAAAGGCTGCCAAGGAACGGGAGGCGCTAGCTAAAGCCCGTGCAGCCGCTCAATCCTCTGGGGCCACCTCTTCTGCCGCGTCTCAGGCTAGCTAGCGGGTTGTTGATGCAGAGCGGCTCCTGGTCGCTGAGGTGACTGGCCAAACCTCTGAGGCCCCCCTTCAAGATAACCGGGTTCTGAATGTGAACCCGGTCGGCGTTGGTATCCCTGTTGGTGGGGAGAAGGATAAGGGGAAGAAGACGAAGAGGCCGCGCCCTGAGCCCTCTGCTCCCAAGTCTACGGGCGTCGCGGTGCCCTCCGCCGTGCATCCCATTTCTGAAGTCTGGAAGGACATGGCCCTCTAGACCGGGCTAGAGTTATCAGGTCGTTCCTCGGGCGACTCTGTTGATAACGCCCTGCTTCTGAGCCTTGAGGTATGTTTTCCACATCCCATCTTCTGAACCCGCTCCTCGTTCCCACCTAACCCATTTTCCTTTCTTGCAGGCTGGGCTGAGCTTGCTGCAGGCTAGGGCTGCTCGGGAGAGAGATCTCGCCGAGCTCAAGAGGAAGGCTGATGCGGCTTTCAAGAGGGAGCAGGAGGCTTCGCTGCTGCGGGAGGCCGCTCAGGCAGAGGCGAAGAAGGCGCAGGCTGCCCTGGCCCAGGCCCAACAGGAGCTCCAGGCCGTTCGTGCTCAGGGCGAGCGTGAGAAACAAGGCCTGCTTGCCAAGGTAGCCCTTGCTGAGAAGCATGGGATTTCTTTTGTTCCTGCCGCAAACCCTGCCTCCCGTCCCGAAGGTGGAGATCCTTCCAGTGACGTTTTGACCCTGTCCCTTAACGTGGAGGAATTCAAGAAGACTTCTCAGTTCCTCCAGGCCGCTTACGGGTACTGTCGGGGCGCTGCTGGAGAGGTTTTTGAAGCCGAGCTGCCGTCGGTGGCAGATACAGAGCGTTCAGGTCATGGGGTGCAGCTTCTGGGGAAGACTGCCCTCGGTGTTGAGTGGCTTGCCGAGCTTGCTGATGATGCCTTCGCCAAGGGGTACTTTGAAGGTGTTAAAGCCCTTAGAAGCGTGCTCCCTCTGGTCGGCTGTCCCCCGTTCAATGTGGATGATTATACCGATGGGGCTGAACTTCGGCGAGTTATGGGCAAACTCGACCGAGCCGAGCAGCGCACGGCGGCTATTCAGAGGGGTGATATCCCCGATCCCCCCACTCCCGAGCTTCCCGTGGGGCCATCAGAAGAACCGTCGACCTCCCCACGCTCCCCTCCCCATGGTTTCCTTACATAGCTTGTTAGTTCTCTCTTCTGCTTAATTGTATGTTCCCGCCGGTAGGGCCGAAGAATAAAGCCTCCTTTGTATTTACATCTTGTGTTCTGTTTATTCATTCGTACTTCCCTACTTCCCTGCTTAATTACAGCTTGTTTTTTTTTACGAGGGACGGCCCCTGTCCCCTTTCCTGGGCTCTTTCCTCTTCTTCTGACGAGGAACGGCTCTTGATCCTTGTTCATGGGCTCTTTCCTCTTCTTCTGACGAGGAACGGCCCTTGTTCCTTTGTTCATGGGCTCCTTCCTCTTCCTCTGACGAGGAACGGCCCTTGCCCCTTTGTTCATGGACTCCTTCCTCTTTTTCTGACGAGGAACGGCCCTTGCCCCTTTGTTCATGGGCTCTTTACTCTTCTTCTGACGAGGAACGTAACGGTCCTTGCCCCTTTGTTCATGGGCTCTTTACTCTTCTTCTGACGAGGAACGGCCCTTGCCCCTTTGTTCATGGGCTCTTTACTCTTCTTCTGACGAGGAACGGCCCTTGCCCCTTTGTTCATGGGCTCTTTCCTCTTCTTCTGACGAGGAACGGCCCTTGCCCCTTTGTTCATGGGCTCCCTCCTTTTCTTCTCTTTTCTCTTTTTTTTTTAAATACCTGTGAGGGGGTGGTTTCAGCACTTGTCCCATGTGGCGTGGATCTCGAAGCGTCCCCAGCCGTAGGATGCACCAACCATGGCCCGCCACGTGTCTCTCCTTTATTCGGGAGCCGGGGTGGTTTTCGCCTATAAATACCCCCTTTCCGAAATAGGGGGATTGCTTTGTTACTTCTGCCAGATTATTTCCTCTCTCTAGATTCCTTGTAAGTCTCCCATTTCTCCTCCGTACCTGCCATGTCTTCCATTGTCCCCAAGTCGTCCGCCCATGGCTGTTCCGGAAATTTATCCGATGACGACTGTAACTCAGGGGACGATCTCTCGGTCTATAGGCGTGGGATGCCCCCCTAGCCTCCTCGTTTCTCTCTTAACTTCCATCTCGTTCGGCGTCAACGCCAACGTCTGCTCCTCAGCGAGAAGAACCTGATTCCCCGGTTGCTTCCCCCCCCCCCCCCCCACGGGTTTGGGACGCAAGGTTCCTCCGCCATCCCATGCGGCATCTTCCTGGCCATGTGGTCGTCCATCTGGACTCTGTGGCAGCGGGTTTCCTTTTCCCGCTGCTGCCTTTCCATGTTTCTCTTTTCAGGGGACTTGGCATCGCCCCGGCCCAACTCGTTCCGAATTCCCATCGAATTCTCGCCGGTTTCATAATCCGGTGCCACAACGTGGGGGTCGAGCCATCTATGAAGTTGTTTCTGCATTTCTTCCGGCTTTCCCCGTACGGCCAGACGGGTTATCTCAGTGTGGTGGCCCGTTCGTGGAGGGTTCTTTTTTCCAACAACCCCTCCAACCCAAACAGCTGGGAGGAGAGGTTCTTCCTCGTCGGGGTTGATTCCCCCCTCCCCTTCTCCGATCGGTGGAATGCCTTCCCGGTCAAGTTTGAGCCCCCGGTTCTCCATTCAGCCAAGCTGGAACAGGCCGCGCGTATCGCCGGTGAGGGGGTCCAGAACCTGCATTTGTTGGTGAATGACACCAACTTGGGCAAGGCCGGCATAGGTACGTCCTCGATGTGGCCCAGGTTTTGGACTCTCTTTTTTATGACTCTCAACTTGTTCTGACAATTTCTCTTGTTCTTTGTGCAGGGCTTTA